ATATTTAATTAACCTTCATATCTGTAACCATGTGATAAAATAGAAATAAAAAGGGAAACTAAAATCCCTTATATCGAGAAATCAGACCATCTGAACATCAGAAGTCCATTCGAAAGATTCTAAGTCCATTCGCAGCTAAAATAATAATATTCATTTAGTGAAAAATAGATTTGGATTTGATGATCAGATTGAATTCAAGTTGCTTAGAAGGGAAAAAAAAGATTATTTATCGTAAATAAAATATATGAAAAAATATGAAATTTATTTATGCATTTGTTTGAAAAATCTGTATATTTTTCAAAAATCTGTAATCTGCATATACAGATATCTGTATCAAAATATTGGAGAAAATCTGTATCATTACAGATAAATCTGTATATGTGGCATCACTGGGCTCAATTCGTTCACGCATGCATATGTGTGGGTTTATTTAGACCATCGAATCAACGGTACACGCTAACTGAATCCAACTCAAACTGAGCATATCAAAACTTGAGGGGCCAAACTTTACTCTTTATTGTATTATGTATACAAATATTAATTGTACTCTTTCATTATCATTATTATTATTATTATTATTATTATTCATCGCCAACTATGTATACCACAGTGAGTACGTTCCAGCTGAAGATTGTTGAAAAGTGTATTTGTGGTGGTGCAAATTATGATTTAGATGACGCATGCCTTCAAACATTTTGTGTATCCAAATAAAACATATTACATACTAAATACGCACAGGGCATCGTCTGCTGACCATTGCCGCGGGTATATCGTGGAAGTCCCAGGTACCCGGTTCAAGCTTTAGTTGGCGGCGGTGGCTATTCTTGACCTTCTACCCCCTGAGTACACGCTACCAAAAATTCATGTAAATTTCCGTGCTCTGAGACCGACACATACAAGCGGCTCAAATGACATAAGAATCAGTTGAAAGAAACGAGAAAATAAATTCAATCAATCGTACTTTTCGTCGAGTTGCGTGTGTTTCGGTTAGGGAACACTTAATTTTACATGACATGTTTGTTTACGTTCCATAATTTACGTCAAAGATGGATTACATCTCGTGTAAAAATAGTTATTTTTAAGTGTGCACACTTAGAAATACCTAATTTTACACGTGACGGAATCCATCTTTGACATAAAGGATGAGACGTAAACAAACATTTCATGTAAAATTAAGTGCTCTGAGACTGAAAAGTTCGTTACTCGATGAAAAGTACGTTTGATTGAGCTTTATTCCACGTCTATTATGACTCAATTTTTTGTCAAAATTGACGTTCGTATATGTCAGTCTCAGGGCACCTAAATTTACATGAATTTTTCTAAGTGTGCAGTGTGTTGTGTTGCATACTACCAATGAGGTTAACGAACTGAGGTCGTGCTGTGGGTTGTAATCGGCTGTGGAATCTCGACGGATGTTTTCGGCCGAGCGGCAACTGAAGCAGCTTTACTTTTTATCTGGCGAGTGATGGCTGTGCGAATTGGTGCGATTTGGAAGCGAGTTTATCGTTTGTAGCAGTTGCAAGTGTTTCAATATCATCGACTATTGGTGGTATACGTGCGGTATCGGACTTAGCGGATTGGTAAGTGGCGAATTTGAATAGCGATGAGCGGGACTCTCCTGACATCGACTGGTGCAACGACGGAAGGCGCGCGGTGATGACGGAATGAAACGAATCGAATGTTGAGTGAGTGGGAGCGGACTCGACGGAAACGGTCTCCCTGAATTTCTGCGAATCTGATAATTATAAATCGTGTAAATTTATGAGACATGTCATGCAATATTCCATACATTGTATGCAACTTTCCACCTTTGTTTGCAACGTTTCTTGCAAGCTGCTAGTTTACGTGAAAAGGAAGTTTACATGCATGAATGTTTGCATGCATGGATGTTTACATCACCAGTAAAATTCAGATTTTTTTTAGTGTGTAGATGCTGAAACGAAACAGGCTGATTGGTTTGAAGCGGTTCGTCGTCTTATGCGACGTGCGATCGTCCAGCCAAAAAGCGTTTCGACGAGCAGTAGGAGCCCATCTCCCAAGGAGAAATGATAGTCTACTATTAGGTCTTTCACCGTCGGGGTTAACCTCAATCTGATGACAGTTCAGTGGTACGTGGATTTAGTCCATTTTTTCATGGGTAGATTTTCTCGATAATTTTTCAGACTGCAGTGAGATGTAAACCCCACTTCTGCATTGTCCACGAGCAAAATCCTTTCACCGCGCTGTTCCTCGACAATTTTCAAGTTAAAATTCGGGAATTTTAGAATATTTTTTTTTTCTTCGAAAAACGACTAAGTGCTTGTAAACAGTACCACTGAACTGTCAAAAAGGTTCAGCCGATTAAAACTGAGTTCATTCGTGACGTCATGCTGCAGAACCTAATAAGGTTTTGCACCGCCCGGGTTAACCTCAATCGGATGACAGTTCAGTGGTACTGTTTACGTGGACTTAGTCGAGTTTTTCTAAGATAGATTTTTCGATAATTTTTCAGATTGCAGTAGCATGTACACCACACTTTTGAAATGTTCGCGAGCAACATCCTTTCACCGCGTATTTCCTCGACAATTTTCAAGTTAAAATTCGGAAATTTTAAAATATATTGTTTTCAAAAAAATGACTAAGTGCTTGTAAACAGTACCACTGAACTGTCAAAAAGGTTCAGCCGATTAACACTGAGTTCGTTCGTGACGTCACGCTGCAGAACCTAATTAGGTACTGCAGCGTGACGTCACAAATGAACTCAGTGTACATCGGCTGAACCTTTTTGACAGTTCAGTGGTACTGTTTACAAGCACTTAGAAGTTTTTTCGAAAAAAAAAATAATTTTAAGATTTCCGAATTTTAATTTGCAGATTGTCGAGGAAATGCACGGTGAAAGGATGTTGCTCGCGGACATTTCAAAAGTGTGGTCTACATGCTACTGCAACCCGAAAATTTATCGAGAAAATCTACCCAAGAAAAAATTGACTAAGTCCACGTAAATAGTACCACTGAACTGTCATCAGATTGAGGTTAACCCCTGCGGTGCAAAACCTTATAGACGAGTGCACGGGTGAACTTATGTTCATCTAGTGAAAAAATTGACACAACAGATAATTAAAACATAGATTGCTCATATCCGGTGGTGGCCGATGTAAGCTCACCCGTTAACCGATTCCAAGCCTCCCGACGCAACTACCATCGCGTCAGCTGGGATCAGTTCCAACACTGTGTCGACTACGGTGTCCTTCCGGAGACGCCCGAAGACGTTGACCGGTGTCTGCATTCCATCGAGGAAGCGATATCCCTGGCCAGGGAACAACACGTGCCAGTATCCAGATAGGTGAGCAATACTCTAAACCTTGACAGATCTACCAACAATCAATTCGAAATTAACGATTTTAAATTGGCTCACTACTTGACTAGCCTATTGGTCCCAATCAAATCGAATAACGTATCCCATTCTAGTATAAATTCCAGTACTACACTATGTTTGTTTTGATTCGCTATGAAAGTTTGACAGATAAAATGAGGGGTTCGTGGATTTTCCCGAGGGGGGCGACACATCTAAATCTCAAGTCTAGATGCTCAACAAATCTCACACTAGCGAATCAATCTTCGAAAAATCTTCTTTCATTTCTCGCATCTACTTGCATCGCGCATCATCTTTTTGCAGGAAATCTTCAGTATCGTCATCAATCTTCTTTCTATCTATTCAGCGTGCGCGCAGTTAGCCACAGCAATACACAATCTTCTCTGCATCGTAGATAGAGTCGTCCCCCTCGGATTTTCCTATGTTTCGAGGGGTGCATCGATTAGCTTGGGACCGAAGATAGTACCAGAGCTCAGCCAAAAAGTTGAGCACGTTTCTTCGGGACCTTCTAGTCTTAGAGTTACCTCTATGTTAAAACTGCAACTCAGCATTGCGAGGAGTGCGTGTTCGGTTCTAGTTTCAAATTGAAACATTCCATATAAAATACAATAGCATTACGAATGGCCTTAGCATGGAATCAGAATTCTTAAGTCGAGTTTGGAGTCAAGAAAGGGTCTTAGATTGGCATAGTTGAAGATGCTAATTTCAAATAACAGACTGAAGCGGTAATTTTTATACGATAGATGAGGAGATGAAAGTATAGAATTGATAGTTTCGTTAGAGTACGGTAGAGTGAAAATTGCATATAGAGAGTAGAAAGCGAGCAAGGACAACTTTAGGAAGGTACAAATCGGTTTGATCATCTCTCTTTACCAAACTCCCCCGTTGGAGAGGGTTGGTGATGGGTATTCCCTACCGCCACCACTGGCAAAAGGAGATGATCACCGACACGCTCAAGTACCGACGATGTGTTTGAAACAGTTCTACCAATTTTTAGTGTAAATCGTTGACTTCACGCAGAAGTAATCCTAAACATATAGTCAAAGATTGTTGACAATATCTCTACGGTGTGTTACTCTTTACCAAATCTAACGGTATGTATAGTAAGGTGAATAGATTTGGAAGACATATGTAGCATAAAAATTCCACTTTGTGTAGTATTCCTTTCGAAATAGAGAGGCAAAGTGCGGGTTGTGCTTAGTAGGCCCAACATTAAATCTAAGCCCTGTCTAACTATTGTTTGCTCCCTCGTCATAGCAACCTTGCTGTCTCGTAAAGGGTGGTAGGTTAATGTGTTGTGTGTTGCACCAGCTTGTCGATGGTTAAACGCTCATCTGGGGATATTACTATTACTCCTTGATTGTACGTTTTATTCTGCTTTCATTCTCTAGTTTCATGAAGGGAAACAGAACACCTTTAAGCTATTAAGCCTGTGTTTAAATTTGGTAGAGATTAAATAGACTTATAGAATACATGTAGACCACAGACTGTAAGAGACATAACATGATAACTATGATAACAATGACAAAACAAGACAATTTTTTTCCATTTTAATTGTTATTTGTGTGATAATGTAATGGTGAAGAGAGATCTGTGATTTTTTCAGCAAGGTATCGGATATGTTTAACACAAACAAAGAAAAACTTACTAAGATTTAGTACTTTTTATTTTCCAGGATAGAAAACAAAAACTTACAAATGTACAAACACTTGAATCACTGATGCTAAACTGGACAATGCGATAAAATTTGGATGACTTCTTGTATTTAATTCGAATTAAAGAAAACAGCTTTGATTTAAAATTTTCCAAATAGAAAAATGGCCCTCACATGATCTAATCTTGCATCACTTCTTCTTCGCCTAATATCTTCTTCATGTTAGTTCTGCTTCTTTTTTGCTCCTCTTCGCAGCTGTTTTGTACAGAGAAAATTTGCACAAATGTTCATGAGTTATTTTCATCCTTTATGTTAAAACATAATTACATTACAATAAATAATAAAACACAATAAGAATACAACGTACAGTTTTTTGAAGCTTTCGGTTGCTGTTCATTTTTTTTTGTAATTTTCCGCGAAAACTTTTTTACCGAGCTTTAAGTTCAAATTGTCGCAGGTCACGCCTGAAAGCATCATCACGACACCTGACTTCAGATTGGTTGATCTTTTCTTCTTCTTCTGGTGATGACTTCAGTTTGATCTACGTCATCCTCACTGGTTGGATGAGTTGGACTCATTAGGACATTGGAATTGGGGATGAGTGGGGAAGGGGAGGGGTATTTTATTGAAGGTGGGTTTTGGGTTTATAGACGGACTCCTGGGTTGCGGGAGCGGACAAAGTTCAGCAGCTCATCGGAATCTTCGCATACGAACGGCTTCAGATGATGGCAAGCGACGTCGTGCCATTTCAGACCGTCGTTGTAGAAGTTGTTCAGAATCGACAGGCAAGATTCGTCGTTACCCTGTGAATTGAATCCAAAAACTCCGATACATGATCTTCGATCGTCACAAGCTAGAGAATGGTTCATACCTGAGCTGCCTCGCGGTTGTCGGGCTGTTGCTGTCCGTACCCTCCAGTGTAGCTCCAGTCTCCGGTGTTGCGCGTGGTGGTTGGTCCAATCTTGACTCCCGATCCGGACCAGAACCATCCGTTCTCATTTGGTGGCTGCAGGTCGGGGCGATCGCATCCGGCAAAGTTGCACTTGCGGCCGGACGTCCAGATGTACCGTATGTTTCCACGGGAAATGCGCTGCTTGATGAATTCGTTCTCCTGAGGCGTTTCCATCGAAACGGCGTCCATACAATGGCGACGGCAGATGTTACGGGCATCGAGCCAGTCCACTTCCAGGTTGCGAGTTGGCTGGTGTTCCCAACTGAAGAAGTACGAATGGGCTACTCCACGGGCATCTCGGTACGTGGCGTGCCGCACGCCTGGAATGGGAATTTAAAATGGTTGAAAGGTTAGAATTGTACATCGAACGCAGATTTACACAGACGATTGAACTAGTCAACCGGTGGAAGTCAAACTGATGAATTTAAAGATCTGATTAGCACTTCGGAAGCTGAGTCTGACATAATCGTTATCTATGCCTGTCATGAGTTCCGGTCGTTTATAGTTGTTTTAATGTTAGTTGTTAAATAATGCGTTGTATAGCATTAAATTTATCGCAAAATACCCGACACGATTTCCCAACCTGATAGGACATTCTACTAGTGTTAAACGCATTTTTGAGTGTCTTTCGAGTTGTAGTCTGATAAAAGTTTATCCAAAGTGAATATAGTTGGAGACGCTTAACGCCAAATATCAGACTTAAAGTGAACATTTTATACGATAGATGAGGAGATGAAAGTATAGAGTTGATTGTTCCGTTAAGTACGGCGGTGTGAACATTTAATATAGAAAGTAGAAAGCGAACAAAGGACATTTTTGAGGAAGGCACGAATCGGGTAGAGCATCCTCTTTACCATGCTCATCCGTTGATGAGGGATGGAGAGGGTTTTCCCACCTCCCTTCGCCACCACAAAAGATGGTCGCCGATTTGCTCATGTGCCACCGATGTGTGCACACAGCCCGAGCAAAGTCAAGCATCAAAATGACAGCAAATTGAAATCGAGTTTTGATATCAACATCAAACTAGAATCATAATTTGATTTCATTTCAATGTGATGTCACATGAAGATTTGTTTGCTCGCAATTTTGATATTTTAACCGTTAAAACGACCAAAACGATAGCAACCTGAGTAATCATTATCAGCGCAATCACAACATCAAATTTAGATTTAAATTTGATCTCAGACTTTGCTCGGGAGTTCTATTGATTGTTTCACTCTCAAGTCGCCATATGTGAAGCTTTAAGTGTAGACTTACTCAAAACTGAAATCAACAAGAGTGAAAGACTGAAGCTTCTAGATTTTACGGTTGTGGTTTGTCAGAAATATGCTACATTAAAAAAAATTACACTAATTTCTACTGTCGAATTTTCATGTGAAATTCCGCAAGATTTTCATGTGACCAGAACAGAATCCACTCAGAAATACACATGAAATGTATGTGTGAAATTAATAGTATGTGTGGTCACACATGGCTATTATACATATATTACTGACTTCAGTAAAGCGTTTGATAGAGTTGATATCCCTCTTTTGCTATTCAAATTATCTAAGTTAGGTTTTAGTCAACATTTATTAAAGTGGATTCAGTCATACTTGACCGGTAGGACACAAAGAGTTAGATTTGAACGAGATTTGTCGTCAGTAGTCAATGTAACATCTGGTGTGCCACAAGCTTCCCATCTTGGACCATTACTGTTTATTCTATTTGTTAATGATGTAGAGCACATATTGAATATTCTGAATGTCTCAATATACATATGCAGACGACATGAAACTTTTCCTGGAAATTCGTGAAAAATTCGTGTCGTGCGACCATTTATTTGATCTATTGTAAAGGGTGATACGGTCAAAATTTGGTCAAGGGAAAACGCGTGTAAATCGGTGAAATCGTTTATTTAAAAAATCAAATTAAATTTCTTTTTCAAGTTCAATTAGTATAAAATTCAGGAAAAATATTCAGTTAGGCTTCCGCTTTTCCAAATCCGAATTGCCGGGCCTTACGCTTGACCCCTGCCATCAGATTTTGTACAGCCACCTTGTCCACCTTCTTCGCCGCAGAAAGCCAGTTTGCCTTGAACTGCTGCTCGCCCTTAGCAGTTTTTTTCGTCTTCTTTAGGTTCCGCTTGACAATAGCCCAGTATTTCTCAATTGGGCGGAGCTCTGGCGTGTTGGGAGGGTTCTTGTCCTTGGGAACCACCTGCACGTTGTTGGCGGCGTACCACTCCATGGCCTTTTTACCGTAATGGCAAGATGCCAAATCCGGCCAAAACAGTACGGAACAACCGTGTTTCTTCAGGAAAGGCAGCAGACGTTTATTCAAACACTCTTTCACGTAAATTTCTTGGTTGACAGTCCCGGAAGCTATGAAAATGCTGCTTTTCAAGCCACAGGTACAGATGGCTTGCCAAACCAGATATTTCTTTGCGAACTTTGACAGTTTCATGTGCTTGAAAACATCTGCTACCTTTCCCCTTCCTTTTGCCGTATAAAACTCCTGTCCCGGAAGCTGCTTGTAGTCGGCTTTGACGTAGGTTTTGTCGTCCATTACCACGCAGTCAAACTTCGTCAGCATCGTCGTGTACAGCCTCCGGGATCGCGCTTTGGCCGTCGTATTTTGTTTATCATCGCGATTTGGAGTCACTACCTTCTTGTAAGTCGATAGTCCGGCTCGTTTTTTGGCTCGATGCACGGTTGTAGACGATACACCCAGCTTATTTGCGGCATCTCGGAGAGAGAGGTTAGGGTTTCGCTTGAAACTACCGGCAACTCTCTTTGTCGTCTCAGCGGCTTCCGGTTTTCGATTTCCCCCCGATCCAGACTTCCTGGCTGTCGACAAACGTTCCCCAAACACTTTAATTACATTTGTAACGGTTGATTTGGCAACTTTTAGCGATTTTGCCAACTTTGCGTGCGAGTAGCTCGGATTTTCGCGATGCGCGAGCAAAATTTTGATACGCTGCTCTTCTTGCTTGGACGGCATTTTGACAACTGAAGAGTGAATTCCAAAATCAAAATAGGAGCAACATTCTACACACACACACCTTCAAAATGAGGGGTGTTCAGGTTTTTTCAATGCAAAATTGAAAGAAATACGTCAAGTTGATATTGACCAAATTTTGACCGTATCACCCTTTAGTATATTCCCCGGTTTTTTGTTAACCTTATTAGGGTGAAAAACTACTATTAGAAGTAACCATCAACGCCTAACTTTAGGTATATTCCCAGCAAGGAATTATGTGTCGTATGAAACGTACTACACAGAACAGAAGGAGAAGTGCAAACAAATCGGTGAATCAAAAAGTGTTCGTTTTTCTGCTCAACAAGCGATGTGTTGTGGTAGCGTTCCACACGGGCTTTCTATGTGCACTCACACTATCATAGCATGCTGCCTATCTTAACTGCAGGCAGAAGATGCCTTCTACCGCTAGGTGCGCTAGTGTTCGCAAATGACAAGTGGAGCCACTTTCTGATCCAAAGTTCCACTCCTGTGCGTACTACCTTACTAGGAGATGAACACCATATTTCAAAGGGCTGTAGTAGTCCCTTATCAAAGAATTTTACCCTTCTGTTAAGAAGTGCTGCACAGTTGCACAATAAATGTTCGGAGGTTTCTGTTTCCTCGTTACAAAACCGACAAATATCATCATCAACTTTTTTAATTAGTCTTAGATGATATTTGGCTGGACAGTGCCCTGTAATTAGTCCTATGTAAGTACATAGGTCTTTCTTTGAGAGGCTAAGGAGTTTTTGTGTGTTTGATGCATTTGGCATCACAAACTTTCTTGATTGTCGGGCTGTGATAGTATTATTCCAATTACAATCTATCATCATCTTTTTCCAGTTCCTTAATTCCATCTTGATGGAGCTTGGAGAGACCCCACAGAATGGTTCAGGTCCCTGAAATGGTTTAGATGATTCTTGCCTGGCTAGTTCATCAGCCTTTTCATTACCTTCTACTCCACAGTGTCCTGGCACCCAGTAGAGATTTACTGTATTGTTATTAGACAACTGTTTAAGTAACTGAATGCATTCCCATACTAACTTGGAAGTACATGTAAATGATTTTAAAGCATTCAAAGCTGCTTGGCTATCAGAAAAAATGCATAGATTTGCACGTTTATATTTTCGCTTTAAACACACAATAGTGCACTCTAGTATGACTTGAATTTCAGCCTGAAAAACGGTTGGCCATCCACCCATAGAAACTGAAATATGAACACCAGGACCTGTCACACCAGCTCCCACTTTATCATTTTGTTTTGATCCATCAGTGAAGAATATAACTGGATGGTGGATTTGTGGTCCTCCCGCACTCCAGAGAGAGCGTCTGGTTGTCTCCATCCAATCAATACTGACTGTAACTAATGGATTGATTCGTATTTGTTTTAATATATGTAGGTGTCCCTTAATATTCCCTTCAAACAAGGTTTTAGTTCGCTTAAGTCTTAGTGCGCTCTTTTCAGTATCTAATTGCACAAATTGGTGTAGTGGAAGAAGATTTAGTATTATAAAATTATTAGACAAGAACATGTAACAATAGGACAAAGCAGAGTTGAAAGGTGCAATCAAGTTAAAGATTTAGGAGTTATACTTGATTCAAAATTAAGCTTTGTTGAACATTATAATAACATTATTTACAAGGCAAGCAACATGCTAGGGTTTATTAAAAGGTTTAGTTTTCATTTCAATGATCCATACACAATCAAAACATTATACGTTGCTCCTTGAGTACTGTAGTATAGTCTGGGCTCCATATCAAGATACTCGTATAAACCGCATTGAATCAGTTCAAACAGTATTATTTGCTCTAAGAAAGTTAGGCTGGACGAGTTATCCCTTACCATCTTATGAGTCTCGATATATGTTGATCAATTTGGATGCACTTGAAAAGCGAAGGCAGTTTGCAATGATAGCTTTTATAAACGATCTTGGAGCACAAAGAGTGAATGCCACAGAGATTATAGAAAATCTAAATTTTTATGCTCCCACTCGTTCCTTAAGAAACAGATATATGTTTTATATTAACAACCAAAGAACAAACTATGCCAGGAACGCGCCTTTAAATAAAATGATGTCTTGTTATAATCAACATTATGAAACAATTGATTTGACAATGAACAAAAATGCTCTTAAAAAACGGTTATTTTCGAGGTTAGTCAGAGATTGAAAATTAAAATAGATGTTAAGTGTTTTTGTAAATTAAACTGGTCTACATTTGATTGAAGACGAATAAATAAATATATATATATTAAGTATGTGTCAGACACATCGATATGATTTGTTGGTCACATTGCAAAAAATCATTTGTGGGGCACATA